TTTTAGAGTTTAAAAACAAAACAACCATATTTTATCTTAAACTTTAAAATGGCTTATAACTAAAACGCTTATGATTTGTTAAAAGCATTTTTGACATTTGTATAAAGGGATTTGTGTGACAAAGTTAATATATCCAGGTGCTCACCAAAGAAATGTAACAGAATTAGATTTTTGTAACTGATCTGTTTCCACTCATTTATAATCAGTAGGAGACTGTCTAGATGTTGGGGCAGCTCTGTGATTTGCATAACATGTAATTCAGTACCCTCCTTTCTGTTAGGGTGTTAAGATTTTTCGGATAAAGATTATTCCCATCTCCCAACCTACCCATGCTTCTCGTAATGACTATTGGATCCTGGGCTCCCTTTGTAGTCTGAGGAAGGTATTGTAGTCAGAGCCATGCACTGATGATATAAGCCTCTGGTAGCAATAAAAAGTTGTCCTTAACCTTTGTGTCTGTAACTGTGTGAAAGGTATTCATTCCTGTGATTTAAACTAAGGGGAACAGGGCTGGCAAAATAGCTCAGAGGTCTAAAGTGCCTGCTTAGGCAAAGCGCTGGGACCACAGTTTGATCCCTGGCGTCCTATGCCATGCCAGCCCTGCCTCCAGGGCAGACTGAGCCAACCACAGAAAATAAACAACGGAGAACAGCAGCCTAAGAACAGACTTATTGAAAATGTGAAAGTGAAATTTGATTGTGACTTGAAGGTTGTGAGTTTAGCTGTAAGAATTCCATAATTTCTCACTGGGAAGTGGGGTATTGGTTGTTGATCCACACAGTATATTCTCATCTTAGTGGGACTGTGAGGGCAGGCTCAGATCCATATCTAGTTTGCATGCCCACTGATTTTGTTCTCAGTCAACATCTGACTTTGGAAATTCTCATGGAATGCTTCACTACCTACCTGTTAGGTGACCTTACCTTATAATCCAACTGAAGAGGAAGCATTGACTCACATATTAGTATAGGGAGTGGGAGGGAAAATAAAAGAATTAACTGTTCATGTTTAAAGATAACAAGGGATTGATTTCACAGTTGTGTGGTTTTTTCCCTCAACAGTTGCAACACATTAAAAACCCGTATTGTAGAGCCAGGTGTAATCGTGCATGCCTGTAATCCTAGCACTCAGGGAAGCTGAGAAAAGAAGTATCACTGAGTTCAAGGCCACCAGCCTGAGCTGCTACATAGCAAGACCCTGTCTTAAAAAAATCCGTATCTTCTTTTTTATATTTCTATCTCTCAGTTCTAAATTGTGGAAGCTCCCAAGAAACTTAAGTACAAAGTCTGCCAAAAAATATATATATACACAACTCAGAAAAAGAAATTTAGTGTGATGTTCTTTCAAGAGATAGTGTTACCCTTGTATGGGGGAACTTCTAGGATGTCATATATCATAGAAAGCCCACTACATTGCTGGCATCCAAGAAACTGAAAATGCAAGTGTAATAATCTCAAATGACCAAGGATACACCCAAGCAGCTGCGCTCCACACTAATAAATACCTGGAAGTTAATGGTCACCACTTTGAGCACCTCTTGTAACTGTGGAGTCCAAAGGTAACTTCTCATGACACCTCAAATTTAGTATTAAAATATTTACACAAGTTTTTCCTCAACCACATATTTTTGGGGTGCACTCCTTTTGGTACCTACAGAACAAATAACACTTAAAACTTTTATGAAAACATTTAATGTAGAAAACTAAGGATAAAAGTAAGCCTCAGGTCAGAATATTATAGTCCCATAGCAATCTAAAGGATTACTTCTAATATTAAAGGGAGATGATGAGTGGGAACAGTGGCGTACTGGTGTATAGTCCGTTTGGAAGCCAAGGCAAGAAGATAGCTTATATCCCAGGGGTATATGGCTAGCCTGGGCAACAGTGAGATACCATCTCACATTTTCGGGACACCAAATCAAGGGGAAGGTTGGCCTTCTATCTCTGGTGCCTTACAGCTTTTCAGCTCACTTGAAGACATTATCCTGAGTGCCTTTCAGTTATCCTTTCCCTGCCATAGTTCTAAAGACCTCAGCTCCATACCTCAAGAGCAAATTATAAACTGGAGCTTTCCAGAAAAAAAGTACTACTGCTGTTAAATTCATTCCTATTTTCACTGAAGAATTTGTCCCAGATTACTTGGGTTAAATTTTGGCCTCACATCACAAACTAAGATTATGTATTCTAATTGGTGGCTGAGCATTATGACACTTATCTATGATCCTGCCACTCAGGAAGGCTGAGGCAAAAGGATAAAAGTCAGTACTGCCTTAGTCAATTTAGGGACTTTGTGAGACCCTGTCATAAGGGCTGTTGATGTATGTAGCTTTGTGCAAATGGCTTCAATCTGCCACCTGATGGTTGAATTATCTTGCTCTGTAAAGCTCAACAGAAACAGTAAAACTACAAGATGCAATTTGTTCCATTCTCTGGAAGACAGTCTTATGTCCTCTAAGAGAACTTGGTGTAGAGGGGAATGAAAGGTCAGACAGTCCACTTTTCAGCGATGTTCCTGACACTACTTTAACTCTGAGGGAAGGTAGGGGATGGCTCTTCATTCATCCAATCTGATGAAAGTGTGCCTAGGTTCCCACTAGAGGAAGTAAAGACACTGATGTTGGCCCACTCATGAAAGTACTTTTCTTTCCTAGGAGCAGCCACTGGTCCTCCGTATTCCACATACCTGGGTTGACAAGCTATATCATTTACTCAATTGAGTTCTTCCAGCAAGAGGGCAAGTTGTGCTTGAATACTGCTGCCCAAAGCAGCATGGGGCCTTTCATTTGAGAAGAAAATGGTTAAACTACTAATGTGCAACCAGTGTGATGGAGAGCTTATCTTCATCATAAAGTAGTCTCCATTTCTAACTGGAAAGGGAAGACACTGGGCCAAAACATTTTCACAAAGCATCATGAGTTCTTATTAGAAAATTGAAGGTTGGACTTATCCAGTGCCATATAACTAAATTATGAACAGGGTTCAACTTCTAACTCACCTCAAACTCCTTTTTTAAATTGCAGTTTTATTTAGTACACAAATACTACTTCTAAAGCCTCCAAAATTGTTTAAATCAGCCTTTATATTAATAAAAGAATTTCTGTCTTCTGTACCTTAAGTAATACTTTGAGTTTTGGCCACTAGATGGTGCTTCTAGAAAAAGAAGTATCTTAACATTTCTGAAGAATGGTTTGGGTCTATATATGTTTAACAAGCTGTTGAACCCACCTCCTGAGTCCAGCGCATCAACACCTTTCATAATTCTGGGTTCATATCACTTAGGACACAGGGGGCCTCTGCATGTAACACTAAAGGAACTTTAGCAATATCAGCCCCATAGGAAGGCCATGGATACTAAGTCTCAGACCAGGGTGTCTGAAACAACCGAAGTTAAGTATCCAAATTAGCAAGTTGTATGCAGTCCTACAAAGTAGCCTATTGCATGCCTTAACCTCACTGCTTTGGGTTTGAGTTCATTATTCATTGGAACAGAAAATATTAAGTGTATATAGTACCACTTGCACCAAGAAATTTCAATTCAAAGCTCTTTTTCACCCTAGAGCTGTGGGTTTTACAGTACACAAATGTGTAACACCCAAATAAATATCTCTTGTATTCATCACTGAAAAGGCACAGTAAGGTAACCAAGAATATCAGAAACATAAGCCAACAACTCCAGGTTTTTAGTTACCAGGACTTATAGGTTAAGAATGAAATGGGAGGGCCGGGGAGATGGCTCGGTGGAATAAGTGCTTCCCTGGCAAGCACAAGGGCCTGAGTTCAGTCCCCAGTTACACACACACACACACACACACACACACACACACACACACACACACATACACACACACACGAATGAAATGGAAACTCTCCTTTTGACTTTTATTTTTTTTGGTGGAACCGGGGATTGAACTCAGGTCCTTGCGTTTGCCAGGGAAGCGCTTATTCCACTGAGCCATCTCCCCGGCCCATATTTTGACTTTTAAAGCATAACCTTTACAGTAGCTTAAACTTCTGACTTAACCTTGCTGTGTTACAGAAATTAAGGCAATAGGAAAGTGTTTTAATAGCCCTCACAGTGAACTGAAACAACTTATTTTGTTGGGCATAGGGCACTCCAGACTCAAGGACAAGAGATAGGCAGCCATGAAAATGGGCCCTGAGGGGAATGGGCCCTTTTGCTTTGTAGAGTATCATTTGTCTTCTGCAGACAAGAGCTCACCTTTACCCTTACTCCATAAGTCTGCTGTAGTTAGCAGCTATGCTAAGGACCAAGTGCAGCTGGTGATATGTCGCTGCATCCCCAACACTTACAAGCCTGGAGCACCATCTAGAATCAAGTATTGAGAAGAGTGAGTAGATGTAAAAAGCAAGGTGACCTAGGCCTACAACTTTCAGTTCCAGAAGCCATGTGCAGAGTGCATGGCTTAAGTCCAGCTCTTTGTGGGCTGTTATTCTCCTCCATACACCTGTGTATGCACACGTGTGTGCGTGCACATGTGCAAGGGTACAGGGACATCTTTGTAGTAACTTTCTGTTCTTATCTAGGTGTTATGATTCTGAAGGAAAGTTAATACAGTGTTTGGAAGGCCATCCATTCATGATACAGGAAATAACTTGAGGTAGATGTGGAGTCATCTGTATCATGTATACCTACAGCGTGTAGAGAAGGGGGGGTAGACAAAGGGGGAGTAGAGAAAGAGGGGGAGTATCTTTTGAGACAGTCCTCACCACACAGTCCAGGCTAGCCTTGAACTTATGGATTCTCTTGCCTCAAGCTCTGAAGTGCTGAGATCACAGCAGTGCACCACAATGCTGGGCTGTTTATACATTGCTACTAGTCACAATAGCAAGCCTGGAAAGGGAAGTAAGTGGATAGCTAGCCTCACAAATAGTCACCTCGAACACATTTAATTAACTTCAGCTCTGAGTGTGCCAGCTGCTTGCTAGAGATGGATCTGTAAGCCAGAGGCCATAAGTCAAGAGTACTAGATACCAGAGTCCCAACAATTCAAGCAATTCATTTTCTAAGTAAGCCCAAGCACCTGTCAATCTCCAGAGTCTATGCAGCATAAAAGGTTTGCTGAAGAAAGGTCATCTAATACAGTCAAAATTATGAATTTAGTTTCTCACACATTAAAAATTGTTTACAGATAGTCTTTGCAACTTGTAGACAAAAAAACTGAAACGTAAGTTTTCTCTGATAAGTTCTACTGACCCTGTCCCAAAAAGCAGAGCAAAAAAAAAAAGGGGGGCTAGGGATTTAGTTCCTTGCTCAGTGCAAACACCCTGGATTCATTCCCCAGTTCTCTCTCTCTCTCTCTCTCTCTCTCTCTCTCTCTCTCTCCCCCCCCCCCCCTCACCAATGGAGAGATTCCAGTGACTCAATTACCCTTTTCTAGTCTAGCTTGAGATAAGTCAGTAATGACTTCACGTCCTTAGTTTGTCAGTGATGGGGACTTCAGAACCTACCAGTGTCCTGGCTAGTGGTGTCCATGGCCAACTTCCCTTAGGTCACTGAGCAGAGGCCAACTTGCCTGGCACAGGTTGTTCCTAGAAGTTGCTTACTCGTATCTTTCCTCGTAATAGGGGACTGCTACGGAAAACAGCTGCAATATCTGAACACCTTTTTTTGAGGAAAAATGTTAACACCTTGTTAAATGTATTGAAACTCCCCCTAAAGTCGCAGGTTCAGAGATGGGGATGTTGGGAGGCAACTGGATCACAAGGGTACTGGCTCAGCACTGGATCAACCTGATGAACTCAGAGTTAAGGTGGGCTCCAAGTGAGCCCTACGGGTGCAGCCTTTGAAGGGGGTATCTTGTCCTTAGGCCCTTCTCACACTAGTTCTTTCCCCTGCCCAAGCCTTTGGTCATGGTGTCTCAGCCACCTGACCATGGACTCAAAACCTGTGAAGGCATGCTCCAAGCAGAGCTTGCCTCTTTTTGTTTATGCCACCTTATCCCAACAAGGAGGAGGTAATGGATATTCTACCTTTTTATTTTTAAATATTGTTCCCCAGCACTTGAGCAGCTCAGATCAGCCTGAACTACAAAGCAAGTTCAAGGCTGACCTGGACAAGACAACAAGACCCTGTCTCAAGGGGAAAACTTGGTTTTAAAATGAGTGACAAACTAAGGTTGATATTAAAATATTAAAAATGAATTTAAGTAAATCTAATGATTGCAATGGTATTGATAAACCTACATGTTTGAACTTCAAGACTGGTAATTGTTACAGTCTGCCAGAGTTGGTATCGCCCACCCCTGACTCTGGTCACAAGATTTCAGTGGTGTACAGTATGAAGGGCATGCCTTTTGATTCATGTTTTGATCATTCAGTGGCACAGATGAATGTGACTTTACTGGAATTTATTATTTCTAAGTAAAGGCACTTGGCAGTGTGCTTATCTAACTGCCCTAAGGAGCCTCCTTCCAGCAATCAAAGCAGCAAGGATGTTGCTTCATCATCCAACAGAAGCATGGGGTGCCTTCGCTATCCACTTCTAAGGGTCTTGACCAAATGCAACTCCTGCCATAATATTTTTATTATCTACCCACTGTGGAGCTGAAAAATGAAGATGTTTGCCATAGATGCTGGATTTGGAAGATGATTTAAAATATGCAATTATATAATAGATTGAAAACTGTCCCTTAACTATAAAACAAGAGTTGGTTACTGTGACAGTAACCTAGTCTTGAATCTGACTCATCACTAACACATCAGCACTGGCAAGCACAAACTCACTCAACTGGCAGATGTATGTGTAGATGAGGTACATCTGAAATGATCCACTATGAATGCTTTACTTCCAATAGGGTTTTGCACACTTTCAAAGAAAGCCACCTCTGTCCCTTTGAGAAGACAATGTGAGTCAGAGCCATTGCTAATGATGCTTATCTGGGAGGTGCTGTTAGGAAATGTGGGTCCTGGTTAAAAAAAAAAACAAAACAAAAAAACATGGATGCAAGCTAAAACAAAGCTTCATGATAAATAAAGACAGGGATGGGCCAGAGTTATTTGAAGGTATCTTTAAATATAAATTGAGCCCCCAAAGCAGAAAAAAAGCCTCTATCAAACACTGGCATATTTTAAACATGATTAAGACTTGTAGATCAAAATCCTAGTAACAAAAAGGGGGATTCTTTTTGTTGTACCTAAGGTGGAGAGCATAAACAGTTTTATGATTTAGGCTTCAGTTACATTCCCCTTGAAGTGAGCTTAAAATTACCATAATTCTGGTACCAAAAGTTTCAGTAACCAATACAAAAAGCAGAATCCCAATTCCAAAATAACATATATGGGATGCAAGTAACAGAGTCAAATAACACCACAATGGTTCCCGAGTTTAAAGGAAGGATGCCCACTTCTCTCTCAAGAGGCAGTTGGTCAGCTGAAAAATAAAGACACTGTATCAATAGGACACTCCAAAGAAAAACTTCCATCTATCTCTGTGCATGCAACATCAAATGTTAAGAAAAAAACTGAAACACCAAAACAACCCACAAAACTAAGAGAAGAAAGAAAAATGTTGCCCATATCTCATGACCTGACAGTGGTAAGGAGCCCACCTGGAGCTCATGGAGCAGGAAGGACACTAGTTACCATGGGTTGATCTGCCCCAGAGGTGGTGGTGACCTCGGACAGGGCTCAGGGATACATGCTTTCTTGAGTCCACAAGTTCTTGATTAGCAGCTTCAATGATGTGACAGCTAAGCAAGAGGATTCCAGCCTGAGACCTTGGGTTTGGGCCCACACTCCCTGTTTCACTTGATTTCCTTTTCCTTTTAATTGTTACTATGTTTTGGGAGTAGAGTCACTTCAGTAGCCACTGTGGCCAGTGGTTTGTAAACAGACATTGACAAATACAAACAGCAGTGCATTATTTGACCCAGACTTTAAAAGAACAAGAGGCGATGGTGGAAATGAGGTAACTCTTCCCCAACACGTGTGACAGACAGCTCCTGCTCTTCTAATGCTCTATGTCCATTAGGAGAGAGTAGGGCTTGTCAACGGGATGGTTACATAAAGAAGAAGCTACAGAGAGAAAAAAGAAAGGTTCAGATTCAAATTTGCTTCTTAAAGCCTTTAAAAAAAAAAGTGCTTCTGTACAATAATCTGTGGAGGAACAGTGGTGTGTCAGTTAAAGGGACGGCGTCACCAAGAGCAGCAGGAGACACAAGCTGATGGGCCCCATGGCAGAAGAGGAGGTTCCCTCTCTGGGGAACAACCCCTTTTCCCACAGTGAGGTCTGGGGCAGGCAGGCTAGGGTGGTAGAGGCAGTGTGGGAGGACAGGACACCACAAGCTGTCTCTTTTAAGAAGCAGGAGTATCTGAAGTCCACACATGATACAAGGTGAAAAAGCAGGGAACACTGCCATCCTTCTCCCATTCCCAACAGGGTAAGCACGTGTATGTACAAACGCATATCAAGCAGTGACCAAAAAGAACTCACAAAAGGGCACACAATGTGGGATTTGGGTAAAAATATATTTCCCCCCTTTTTGTCTTGGCACTAGTGATATATATGCATAGATTACCTGTTCACCCCTGCTACCTTAACAGATAACCAAATCACCCAGCACGCTGCTGAGTTACTACTTTCATAACTGAAGAAATAATATGCTTCACATCAATACAATTATTTTAGTTTTTAAAAAAAGACAAGCATCTAACATGCAGCGTACATATATGACAATTCTGTATTAACACTGAAAGTGAAGAATACACAACAGTTGTAGGAAACACCAGTTATTTCCAAACAGCAAAATAACAAAGATCTACAACTACAGTTTAAGGCATATCAGCATATTTTAAAATAAGACAAAAATTCTACTGCTGTTCACAGCTTAATTTTCAATTTATTTTTAAAAAATCCCCTTCATACCTACATACAAACTAGATTCTGTAGGTCTTAATCCTGATAAGGAGTCATCACATATGTGTCCTGCCCAAAAGAACCAGGACTTATGGAATCTGAGATATAATTCCAGCACCTGCAAATGGCAAAGCCAAGGGATTGGAATGGACAGTTGTGGTGGAAACACAAAGACCACAGAACACGGTTCAGGGAAATTGAAAAGCCTGACTCGACTGACTCAACATTGTATATGAAACATGTAAGAGTATGTCAAGAATGTGAGGAAACCAAGTCTGTTCCAGTGAGGTGCACAAGAAATAGTGTGTTATTGATGGTGAGGCACAAAGCAGAGCAGAAGGATTTTCAAAAGCCCGTGCCCATTATTACATGAAACAGTTCCCCAGTTGTGATGCCCTTTGGGAGAAAACCTGGACCAACTGCCAGAGCCTAAACTCTTATCCCTAAACTAGGAAAATAAACCTCTGAACCCCAGTAAATTCTCATACATGCTGCTCCATCATAACCTACAGTTCAGAAGGACCAAAAAGATAGTCACTGCTTGAATAAGAGGCCAGTGAGAGTCATCTGGCTCCCCTCCAAAAGTGACCAAAATACTAGAGAGAGTCCATTAACTAACATCCAAAATGTAAGTGACCACAAGGGCAACTTAGCATTAAGGGTCTTCTTGGTATTTTTCAATATAAGGTCACTTTCTCACTGAAGCTTCACTATTATTAAAGTCAAAATCCAAGACCCTCTGTGATAGCCAGTAATGCCCCTAATACTGCAGAACACAGGCTGGGATCAGTCATTTCTGACTTCACAATGAGATTAAGTAGTGGAAAACAAATTGTGAAAAATATATAAATATGGCCATTTTGACATATTTAGGTTTTATTTCAAAGCTACAGACTATGCTCTCTCTACACCCCTTCAAGGAAAAAAAAAAAATCTTTCCATTCCATTTGATTTTAGAAAGTCAGATCCCAAAGATTTCTTACTACTGTACTTACATGCAAAGGTGAAAGCATATCCAATTAGATTTGAGGGTATCATTTATTCCGTGCAGAGCCAAGGACTACTGTGAAAAAAGGCACAGATACAGAAAGAAAAAGCAGCAGTAACAAACTAATTGGGGTTGGGGAGAGGGGGTAGAGAAAAGTTCAGAAGCAACACTTTTTTTAAAAAAGCTGTCTTTTGACTTTTTATTCCCTGACTCTCCATAAACTTTATTTTGCTATGAAAAATTTAATGCCAAAAAAATCAATAAATGTGGAGTCAAAAAGTCAGCTGAATGCTTTTTGTTGCTAGGCTTGTTTTTAAGGATGCAAAAGATAGAATTTAAAAGTGTATTTTCTATACAAGGCACAAAGCAAAAATGCTCACACAAGCAAGGGCAGGAACAAGCACACGACACAAGTATTCAAGCTTCTGTGAGGTGCCCAGCATAGGAACAAATCAGCCCAGGGTTAGATCAGCATGCTGGCCAGCACTTGAGGGCTCCACAGCTGGAAGGACTTACCAAAACAAAAGAGAAGACAAAAACACAGACCTAATGGCTCCTCAATGTATGAGGACCACAGTGCTGCTGCTTCTAGTGGGCAGTTTCTACCTCACTTAGACTGCACATCAGTAAATGCAATTTTCTTACTTTGCTTAATGAAGTCTACATTATGGAAGATATCCCTTTTCTCTCCTCCCTATGGCTGGGGCAAAGAGAAGGAAAAGAAATCTTTGCTGGAACTAGATACAAAATTAAATTTAAAAAGTGTGTATTGTGCTGGAGATGTAACTCAGTGGTAAAGCACCTGTCTGGCAAGTGCAAGGCCTTGGGTTGCATTCCTGGTACCAAAAACAAACACAAAAAGTGTATATTGAGGGAGGTGTAGTGTATCCCCACCTATTTACTTGTAACTAGCGGTGGTCAGGCTGAAAAGGGAGAAGGAAAATACTGGGTTTGTGAGAATGTTATCCTCTCAAGTAAAAGAGGAGGTATGCTACAGAGAAAGCAGAGGATCTTGTTGCAGCAGGATCAGGCATCAGGAAGGGGTAGCACAGAAGGGGGATTAAACATACCCTTCTCAATACCAATCAGGAAGTATATATCCTGGCACTTAAGTCAGGACTGATCTTGGGGGAGGTAATGGCCCCACATAAGAGGAGGTGGAACTACTCATGATGGGGGGGAGGGCAGGGAGCATGATGGAGGGGCAGGGAGCGGGGGGAAGCCAGAGAGGAAAATCCCTTCAAGACAACTAGATTCCAAATGCCAGCAAGAAAGCTGGATGTGAAGCTGAATTTTGACTTAAGTCATGTCATGTTCCATCTCATAGCTGGGCCTTAAACTGACAAGGTCCTCTCAAATTTGCTGCTGATAACACATGGTTTATAGCAAATTTTTTATTTGAAATATTTCTAGCACTTTTCTCACAATTAGTAAAAGTGCACAACAGCCTGCAATCAGTTATAAGGTCCTGCCCCTCAGCCCGCTGAGAGCAATGTGGATGTGTTTAAGAAAGACTTCTTACTGCAAGCAATAGGCAGGCTGGTGGAAGATTCCGCTAAGCAACGAGATCTCAATCTGTGAGAGGACCAAAGTTACACTGGTAAACATGAGCACAGCCACAGCAACGTGACCAGCTCTCAGAGGTGGGTGTTCAGATACAATCTCAACCCAAGTGAAAAGAATGCTACTATAAATGAAAAAACTCATGCATGAGTAAAAGTCATCTACACTGATATTACTGTTCTGCTTACCTACAAATCTACCTTACTTTGGGGATAGTATGGAGAAGAGACACAGAGTTCAGGGACTGAAGTCATGGAGATGAATAATCAAAAAATGCAAGCTGTTTTCAGGACTATTGTTCAGCTGCTGAGGCGGTGAGAAGTTTTCACATCAGATGTACAGGAAGCATTTTACCCCACTTTCCTCCGTCCAAAGAGACATACAAATAACAAGCATGCTCCTGCTGCCTCTGGGAATAGGCATAAAAGGCAGTCATTCACTTTCCAAAAACAAAGTCCAGCTGCACAGAACTTTGGCTGTCATTCCCTTATACTATTATTTTCCACCACCCAACGACATTCAGCAAAACAAATTAAGAGTTACTGCTTTTGGGAAAGGGTAAATAACAAAATAAAACCAAAAGACACAGATGATAGAGGTACACTATTACTGCAAAAGCAGATGAATGCGGGAACATCCTTGGCTTGCCAGGCTTTATGTGAAGCTTGCACTGCAAGTTAAAAAACAAAACAAAAAAGTTAGAAATAATAATAAATTAAAAAGAAAGGAGCGCCAGCACCAGCATTCAGTGACAGTGAATGCTCATGCAATGATTATGGAATTGACAGAAACTGAAACCAAAAACTTGAGTAAGATATTCTACATGACAAGCAAAAGCAAATTTTTAATATTTAATTACAGAACACGTGGTTAGTTCCCATTTGCATGAAACTCAGAATTCACAAGTGACTTCTTGAAACCACTGTGTATTCTCACAAAAAGAATTACTGTTTGGGTTTTTGTTTTCTCAGATAACACAAAACCATTATCTCTTAGGTGTGGGTCCCACATAATTGACTAGGAGCATCATGTTCCATTTCTGAACAGCTGAAGGAAACAGAATAAACAATAAATGTCTATATAAGTAACTGGGAGAGGTCCAGACTAGCTTGGGGACTGGAACAGAATGAATGGAGAACCTTCTAATCTACTAGTATAACTGGGAAAAAAAACAAAACAACAACAACAACAAAAAAAAAGTTGTTACATGGGTATAGCTATGGCGATACCAAGAGCTTTCCCCTCTCTATAAAGTACAAAGCAATCAAGGCCAAACCCAAGATTGTATATCTAACTGTGGCCAAATTCAAAACATGCAACTTTATTCCTTAACAAAAATTTTAATTAAAAAAAAAAAGATGAGATGGTTGTGTAAACTGTAGTTTTTACACACCAGTTTTTTTTGTTTGTTTGTTTGTTTTCCAAGATCAGGTCTTGCTCTATAATTCAGGCTGGCCTTGAATTTGAGTTGATCCTCCTGCTGAGCCTCTGGAGTGCTGGGATTACAGGTGTGTACCACCACAGCTGGCTACATACCAGTTTTTAATGGTAAATTTGAAAGCTTTCTTTCAAGACTGCTGGCAACTGTGCAAACTGTTCTCAGAACAGATGAACACTGTCTAGTGGACAACATACACTTGGGCAGTCCCAGCACTACGGCACAGCCACTAGCAAGCACAGGGACTTGGTGGCTAGGGATGGCAGGGGTCCAGCTAACGGCAGTGCCAGGGTTAGTACTATCTTGTCTGCAATCTTAGGAAATGTTATAAATTCTCATGCTACTCCATGTCAAGGAGAAGTAAAAAGCCTTACCTATGTTAAAAAAAGAAGCATGTCTATCAACAAAATAACCCAAAAAACAAAAAAAACCTTAAGCCTGGAGGTTGAAGCACAGCAAGTAATTTAAGCTTCTCTGTAAACTCTACCTCAAAGAAAGCCAGCTCCCAAGAGGCCTATGTGGTTATTCTTGCACCTGCAAATTCTGGTCAAGGTGTTGCGCTGGTTACCCTGGTTACTATTTTTCTATTATCCTCTCTAATCAAAACCTACCATGGCCACTGGCAGTAAGGGTGATTGTTTTTCCTTTTATACATTAAGCCTCCTGCCAGCCAAAGCTCTCACTTAAGAAGTATGGAAAACGGAAAAAGCTTTAAAGAGTGTCACAAGAATTGTATGCCATTGTCAGGCACAGAACCTGGCTGATTATTGTGACCATATCTAGTGCTATTAATAATGAAACTACTAAATAAAGCTAAATAGAATTCATGCTGGGTCACAAAAACTTTAAAAGTATTATATGCACATTAGGAAAAAAGAAACTGAACATGTTGAAAAGGGAAAGGAAAAACCTCCCTACACTGGGAAGTATATATATAATGATCAGCTCTAGAAAGTGTTATTGTGTAAAGGCACATCCAGCATTTACTGGTCCTTCATAAACATATTTTGCTTTAAAACTTGTGCCTTTATGCACAAGAAAGAAAACCTAGACTTTGGGTTTCCTTAGCTGTGAGTCAGCACCTTTAATTCTTTCATTCATGAAACAGACACACGCTACCCACATACTCACACCCACACCGCCCCCACACCACCTGTTTTTCTCTTGGACTAGTTTAGATCAAGGGTGTGATGCTTAATGTTTTTCACTTTCTTCCTGGAAGAGTCACTGGAATTTGGATCTCTGCACTGAGAACCCCATTAAAGTGTCAGATGCTGAGCTGTAAATCAGTATTCTTGCACTGGACATCAACTAGGCAACTGTTTCTATCTAAATAAATGCAGAATACCCAACTTTGGGCCCTTAGATTCCTTTAGTCACTTGACTCTGAACCAACCCAAATTAAAATCATGCTACCTTGATATTGATACTGATACTGTTACTGCTTTGAGAAGCTGGCTACACTTCTGCTCTTTCCCACTGCCTTAGAGCTTGGGAAGTCAGTGTGTAAAGCCTGGTTTAATCTCTGTCACAGCCTGTATTTTCATCTTTGCTACAGGCACTATCAGATGCTTTACAGACAAGTCTCCTGCGCACTGCAGGACCGAGTGGACACAGCAGTGCTCACATTCGTCTCTATGATATCTAAGCTTCAGGCCCATATGCCCTTTTATTAGAATGTGATTCTTTGCTGGCTTGAACACCAACAGTTTGTTCTTTACTCTACCTGCAATCTTGGCATCTAATAAGCTGGGAGTTAAGCAAAGGACAGTGGCATCTGGGGGTTTGTTACTGGACCTTATGATGGTCTGCTTTGAAGATCTCTTGTCACCACCATATTCACTGTCAAACCAATAGCTATCATTGTAAAATTGCACATGCTAGTCCTTAGGGTCACCCAAAGGAGAACTTCAAATCCAGGAGAATGTCAAGGGAGTTTACACTTTCTCCAGTCAGACTGTTGCTTCTGAAGTATCCTGAGAAGTGACTCCCTAAAGAACAGAGCCTGATCCTTTGGCACATGACATTAAGGATGCCTTTTAAAATGTTTTGTGTGGGTACTGGTGTGGTGTGAGGGGTGGCACAGTTATGTTAACTGGATGGGCATTTGGGCTGCATTTCACAATAAGACAGTTCAACATCTTGTTGAACTGAGAGGAGAACCAGACTCAGTGTCTGGCTCACTATGCCCAACAACACAGAATAGGAAAATAAACTTAACTATTGTGCATTTAGATGCTCTTTACCAAGAATGGTGAGAATTATCTTCAGAGGTACTAAAGAGAAATAAACCTGTCTTCTCTGAGGAATCCTAGTGTTGGAGCAGATGTTATAGGAGATGACAGGTTACTCCAGTCCCAGTTGCTTGATCAACATGGAGAAGTTTTATAAATTAATCATGTACCCTTTAAAAATACTTTAAAAACCTTTATCATCTTCCCTATACTATAGAGAACATACTTGCTTTTATATTTCTGGTAACAGATCAACATCCGGTCTGTAAAAAGGAAGGCAGACATGCAAGAAGAATATGTTGTTAGAGCTCCCTAATAAACAGGGAGACACCTGCTTACTTTTTCTTATCCTTGTCTTTCTTGGTTTGCTGGGCCCCAGACTGCTGGGCCTGGGATTGTAGTAGCTGAGTTGCTGCTTTCTTCTTCTGGAAGTTGTTCACCTCGTCCTCAAGCTCCTTCTTCTTGTCTTCCACTTTCTTCTTTTCTTCTTGATGTGTCCGCTTTAGGAGGTCAAACTTCTCATGAAGCTAGAAAAAGAAAAAAAAAAAGAATACAGACTCTTTGAGAACATGGAAATCTTACTGTGTGTGGCCTGTTCAAAAGCAAATCACAGGGGCTGGGGAGATAGCTCAGTAGAATAAGCGCCTGCCTGGCAAGTACAAGGGCCTGAGTTCAATCCCTGGTTCCGCCAAAAAATAAAAAGCAAATCACATTACATAGCTGTATTTGCTTCCATTTCAAGGGTGAAATGTCACTTGGTGGCTCACTGCAAGAGCAAGCTATGATGTCAAGGAGCATCCATCTGTCCAAGGCTTGTTACCTGAGTTCCTCAGAACAAAAATCTCCTTGAAAAGTCTTTCCAATAATCATATTCATTTTAAGAAAGCAGAAAGAAGATAAAATTGTCCATGATTCTAACAAAAAAATTCTCGCTCATGGTAAAATGGTTCTATATTTCTAGTCCTTTTTTCAACATGTATAACCATATTTACTTACAGATACATACACATATCTATATTCACATATATACTATTAAACTTATAAAGATGTGCTGAGACATGTATGGCCTCTAACAAACTGAATTTAAATAGATCATAGATAGATATAGGCTGGGAATATAGTTCAGAGGTTCAACACTTCTTCCAGGCATGCATGAGAGGTGATGGGTTTGATCCCCAGCACTAGGGGTGGGAGAGTGGGGTAAGTGGGGGGCATGATCACAATCAAACAAAAAAAAACATGGAGAGAACCACTCAGCACCTCAGGGACGGGACTACACCTGCTCCATTTGAGCCCCAGTTACAGCAAGGTGGGTTCAAGATGCAGTCATGAGGCTAGTGTGCATGTATTCAGTGGGGCTAAATGGGTTACAAAACATCCTCCTATGCCTGAGAGCGACAACTATGTGTTGTACATGAAATAATGTTTTTTCATCTTCTAGAGATCATCAGAAACATAATATGGTACCAAAAGAACTTATCTTTCTCTGACTGAGGTTTGTTGGGCACACTTTTGTACTGAAGAAAGGTGTATGCACTGCAGCTACTTATACAGAGACTGCAATGAAGGATCGTGGACCATCCTAGGAGGGAACACGAAAAAAGACAATGGACAACTAAACCCAATGCACAAAGGAGTGCACACTGTTGCCAACATCCTTTGGAGTCCTTATGGTGGGGCCCAACTTCAGGATTGGCAAGAACATTGGGTGTGGGAACTTCAGGAGCTCAAATTAGGTAACAACTTAGTTATGTTAACAGCTTCAATTCACAACAGTAATTGCCACCGTAAACTTTGGTGTTTCAAAATAAGTGGTTTATAGGTATTTGTTTTTCATCTTTATGTATTTGGTACAGGGTATAACTATACAGCTCTGACTCCATCCTCCTGTTTTCAGCCCCCTCAGCACTGGGATTACAGGCATATGCCATCGTGCCCAGACTCAGCAGTTTATAGTTTATGGGAAATTTCTTGTAAGAAGTAATTTATAAAGAGGCTATAGTCATTTTCAGTCATAATTTTATTGATTAAGGGTTAATCTTTATGTGTGACAGGCTTTTAAATTTTCTACTAGTTCTTAGACTTTAGATGTAGATAGAGCTACACATACATGTATCAATAAAAATCTAAATTCTAATTCATAGACTCAAGTAAAAAAAAAAAAATGAAGAAGCAAATGCTTAGCAATACTAAATCTTCGCTGCATGGTGGGGTGGTGGTGGCTGCAGTGCTGTTGGGCCCAGCGGCTGAGCCTAGGTGGAACTGAAGCCATGGCTTCTGGAGCATGCTTCTGCCCAGCATTGTAGAGTATTTCAAAGGCAAAAACTTGTACTGCTGTGACTACTGCCAGAATGAGTCGGGAAGTGGCTCCAATGGGATGTGGGCACATTGCATGACAATGCAGGATTACCAGGATCTCACAAATTGAAGATGACAAAGAAGCGGGAGATATGTATACAAGCCTGTCATATATCAAACATGCTGTCCTCAATATACAATAAGGTGCTGGCCTTTACAGTTTCAACCATCAAAATCACACAAGAAAGTTTGTTTAAAAAAAATGTTGAAATTTCTGGTTAAAGGGGAGATTTTCAGAAGAAATGAGGATGAACCCATGGATTCTACAATGGAAGATGTGGTTACAGGTGATTTTGTATTATAAATAAATTGGATATAAAATGTGATCTTAAAACACTCAGCAGTGATCTCAAGGAGTAGAGTGCAAAGAGAAGAAAGAAAAAAATTCAAAGAAAGAAGAATCTAATGAATTAACTCATTCACAAGCTATAGAAGAGAAGTTGGGCTCTGGTGAACCATCACATTCAATCAAAGTTCATCTGGTTCCTAAGCCAGGCAAAGGGGCTGATTTGGGTAAGCATCCATGTCGAAAAGCCAAGGAAATCCAAAAAGAAAGGAAAATGTTAAAAGTCATACAGCAAAACCCAGCTGGAGAATTGGAGACTTTCCAGGTTCAACATCAGGCACTGACTTTGTTCTCACCAAAGGCTAAATTCAACCAGCCCAAAATCACTTGAAGAGTTAATATTTGAATGTTTAACAGAGAATGCATCACACAAGCTAGAGGTGAGGGTGGTGATGTCACCTCCACCAAGTTCTCAGCTCAAAACCACATTTTAGGAGTCTTACCAGGTCTATAAACGGTACCAGATGGTCATTCATAAGGACTCACCTGATAAACCAACTGTGAGCCAGTTTACAAGACTCCTTTGCAGTTCACCTTTGGAGGCAGAGAATCCCCCTAATGGACTAGAATGTGGTTATGGCTCCTTTCACCAGCAGTACTGGCTCAATGGAAAGATAAATGCCGTGGGGTATTTGACATCCTTCCATATTGTGTTTCCTCTGTACATTTGTACTATAACCCTGTTTATTCATTTCTGTCCTTGGGTATCTATTCTGTACTACGAGAAATTGCTTTTACTAGGCAACTTCATGAGAAAACAGCTCAACTATTATTTTTTTTCATAATTTTATTGATAAACAGATAGCAATGAGATAGTTTCAAATCAAATCGCTAGGACAGTTTCAATAACTAACACACTGCATACATTCTTCTTAGTGGTTAATTGCTGTACAAGATGTGGACTTGATATCCTATTTACAAACACCATTAGAACAAATCATTCTATTCATTAACAGAATGTAACTATATATCTATCCCATCCACTTTGCATACACAGATACAAAACGGACATTCATCTGTATCAACTATTATTATATGGGGTTCTACATTCATTTCTCAAGATGAAATATAAGTGGATCAAGGTCACAGTAAGGAACCTGACCTTGAGTGCAGGTGTTCCACAAGAAAGCTGTCATGCCTTATGGCATTTACAGGAAATACCAAAAAGACCTGAGCAAGGAAGTGACAGTGCTGCAGTACACTAGCCTGGTGGGGCAGGCGTGCTCTGAGAGGAAGCTGATCTTTAGGGCCTGAGCCCACCAGGCCTCTAGGGTAGCAAGCCCTGTGCCCAGGGAGAGGCTGCAGCTCCCCCTTGAGAGTAGACTCTCTCAGTTTCACTGTCATACAGCTTTTCTAAAATATTTTGTGGCAATGTATTTGTGAGATTCTCATAGTTAATACAGACTTTAAAAATATGTTATGACATGTAGGTTGTAATTGGGGTTTGTCATTTTGAAAGTTTATTTGCAGAGCAAAATATGCTAGGCTTCTCTAGTTAACATTTTGGAAAGAAAATTAAGATGTGACTAAATAATTTAATCACAGTAATGCTATTTTTGTTCTGTTAAAGAAACCATACAGACTTTCCTCAGATCCATTAAGATGGCAGCTTACCCTGGGAATTTTGAAGTACAGAAAGAAGGTAAAAAGCATGTTTCATCATTTAGGAAATACATCTTCACTAGCGAGCAACTCTTTGCCATCCCTCAGTGTTCAGAATTAAATTACTACCAAATGTTACGCTGTGTAGCTTAACAAAGAATTTGAAAAAAAAAAAAAAAAAATGCAAACATAACCAAAAGATCTTGTGGTTGTAATGGGTGTCCATTTGTCCAAGAGGTCCTGTTTCATGTCTGTCTTCTTGGCACCATTTTTTCCCTAGAGAAATTGTTAATGCTGCCACTAACTTTCAAAACTTTCTGTTTGGGAAATAAAATGTGTAATTACTCCAGTAGGGGGCAAAAATAATAATACTAAATCCTCACCCATCATTCCCTTGTTTCTTAAAGGCAACAGCAAAGAAAGCTCATTTTTCTTCTCCTGCAGTAAAACCATCAGTATTTAACTATTTAAATAACCTATAAATTTCAGCAATCTTTTTAAAAATAAAATATAAGCACTGGGAGTGGTGGTGCAATCCCAGCACTTAGAAGGCGGAGACAGGAGGATCACTTCAAGTTTGATCAGCCTGGGCTACAAAGTGAGCTCAAGGTCAGCCTGAACTGCATAGCAAGACTCTGTCTCAAAAACATAAAAAATAAAATAAAATAAAATAGAATGAGAAAATTATTTACTTGATTTCACTTAGAAAAGTAGTGAGCTATACTTCAGATACTTGATGTGCTCATCACTGACTTGCAGAAACACAGATCACATACTCGCTTTTTCTCTGAGATACAGCAGGAAAAGCGTTACTACGGTAAGCATTCACACTGAGAAAGCAGTGAATCTGGCCTGGCAGTGTGACTGAGGGATACTTAGAGGGATGCTTGAACAGGGAGTGCATGGTGGAGGGGTGAGGACAAGGGCCCCACTTTGCTCTGGACGGTTGCCCAATGACAGAGCTACAGGGACCTGTGCTGCTTGGCCCTTAGAGTTTGCTGACAAGCGAAGATAGTAACAAAGATGCTCCTATATCTCACATTTCAAGACTTATAAACTGAGCAAACACAACACTGCAAAGACTGTATGATACATTCTAGAAACTTCACACACAGTTTTAGTACTGGTTACTAATTAGGTATGTGACTGCAAGAATTACTCTACTTTCATAGTTTATCTTCTCTGAAATGGGGATGAGAATATCTGGACTGGTTTTCCTGCCAGTTTAGTGTGCTGCTTGTGATAAACTGCATATAGAAAATACTTGGACCAACATGAAAGGCTATAAAATGCAAAACATTCGTAAAATAATCTCTTTTACGTTTCCGTCTCTTAAAGGAGGACAGACTGCTTACCTCTTTCTCTGCCTCTTTAAGTTCAGCCTCTTTCTCTTTCACTCTCATGACAAACATTTGTCTCATTTCTTCTTCTTTCTTCTGCAGTTCCCCCAGGAATTCATTCCTTTTAGCTTCATATGTCTCCTGAAGACTTCAAAATCCATAAACCAAGGACAGAGTCATGAAATTGTACAATAAGAAATTTCAGTTCATATCATTGCTACCCATCTATTTCCAAAAATAGGTGGAACTGCTGTTTACCATATAAAGCTCAGATAAAACGACACTGTTTCACTTATGCTGTGAAAGGAAAGAGAAATACATCAAAACGTAGAATGAGTCAGGAAGCACAATGCAGGAAGCACTAACAAGTATGGCAAACCATGTGGGTGTTCTCTGACAGTCACAGGGGACAGCTTGGGCTCGAATATGACTAGAAGTGTAGAAGATGGAAGAAGTGAAATGGATAGGCCCACGGTCTGAGCAAGGTTTGTGTTCCGGTCCCATCACCAACTCATCTTGGGAAAGCACAGCCTCTCCAAGCTTCCTAGACATAGACACAGAAGCACTCGCCTCCCAGGGATGTGATATGAGAATCAGATGCAGGGAGAGTGAGCTCAAAGCATCTGACTTTTAGTTAGTGCTTAATACACTTCCTCACTCTCCTTGTCACCCTCTAGCCCTCAACCTAGTGAACAAACTACAGACACATGACTACCTCTAAATGTAGCATAGAAAACTGCTATTCAATTGAATTACTAGTCGTAAGTAGAGCAGGCAGGAGTTTTACTTTGATTTTAAAATGCATCCTCTTCCTATACACAAAATTTAGAATCCAGCATTTTACTTTTTTTTTTTTTTCCCAACATTTACTATGAGTGCCATGACTCAGCTACATCTCTAAGTTAGAACAAGGATATTTACATAAATAAATATCCTTGTAGAGGATAGGAAGCACCTTTGGTCACACAATCAAAAACAAGAAAGAATAAAAAATCTCATCATTCCACCCCACATACACACTACAAACAGTTGCTGGTGTTTTATAAGGCTCTATTGTTCTTGTTCTTATTCTTTATCTCTGCTTCCCTAGAACAACAGTTGTATAGTAACAGGAATCTAAAGCTTCTAAAATTAACACCTGTAGTTTTCATACAGTCAGCACAGTTAACTTCTAAACAATTGTGTGAGTTGACTTTTCAGAGTTTTATGCAGCTGCCACACTATCCCACAAGAGAAAACAAAGTTGGATGATGATCATGTTGCCTAATATTAGCAGCAATATTTATGCTTCAAGATTGTGAGACAGGACTGTGTTGATAATAAACTATGAAACAATTCATGAGTTTGATTTTGTCAGCTTGTAGTAAATTCTTCACTGTTTTGAGTCAGAATTACCAAAGGCTGAGGATAATTTACTTGTTCCTGCTGTGAAATCTTACAGAAATCTCAGCTGCTGCTGACTCTTAAGTCTCTTTCTTCTAACAAGCAATGGGACACTTCTCACAGAAACAGTACCCACATGTTCCAGAGACCATCAAATACCACAGCTTCAAGAAAGGATCTCAGAAGAAGGGTTTCCAAATCCCAAAGAGAGGGAAGAAAGCTACGTATGTTTTCCTGAGGGGATGCACATGGGTAGCCCCCAGCTGGGCAGCACATGAGGACCACCTGGGTATATTTCAGTGTACTCCTCTAAACACCGACTCCTAACCCTGTGCCTAGAGCTTATTAAGACCATTAGGCTGCAGTGAAGCAATCTGCTTTGAAATGCATCTAAGGTGATTCCCAAGCTAACCACTGCTTGTCTTAAAGCTTGGAGAAGCTTTTTAGTGAAAGAAACTGTTTAAGGTGATTAACTTAGATGTTCTGATTGATCATGGAAACTTTTTGAAGTAACTCACACTGCTACTGTGAACACTGAGAACTGTTAACATGATTCTGCTTTATCCAGTCCCAGCTGCAACCTAATTTATGCTCCAGCATCTATAGTTTCAAACTATGGACCATGACCTAGTCATTGATCCTGACCAAAGTGTTAAAAAGTTTAAGAAAATAGGAGAAAACATACCAAAGTGTACTGCAAACCACACTGGATTACTGGGGCAAATGTGTGCTGAGGACTATAATAGAAATGCCACCCAAGCTAGGACACCCTTGTCCCAGGGAAAACCTGAGGGGCAGCTTCATCATTGGTAAGACTGGCCCCAGGCATGGGCCAGAGGAGGATTCCATCACTAGGATGTAAGCCAACTTTTGAACTCTGACATGGAAAATGATAATGACATCAACATATGAGAAAGATATCCTGAAAGCTTACACCAAAGGGTCAGAACTACATTTAGGTACCTACAAATAACCACACAACTGCAACACCCACAGTCATCCTCAGGGTTCTGCCAGCTGAGATGAACTCCAGATATCAGAGACCCTTGGCAACGTTTTCAGACACTGAACAGATTCTGTTATCCACCCATAGATATCTAAAGTAATTACATCATTTTCAGTTTTAGTTCTCCAAAACTAATTTTAAACTATAGTTCTTGGCATCCTTTTCCAAGGAAGAAATCTGCAATTGTTCTATGAGGTTTTAGGTGGGTCTGAAGCCAAAGACCTTATCTTGTAGTTTTCTCATGAGAGGCCCACAGGAAGGAAAGGTTTTGCTTTTACAGAAGTCAGGAGAAAGAAAATGAACACAGAGCCTTTATCTTGTCACAATTTTCTCCCTGTTCAAATCTGGTAGGACCATGTAGTGGAGGATATACCAGAAAGTGACCATTCCCACCATGATTTTTATGAAGCAATTTCACATGTGAATTCTTTTAATCCTAGCAATTGGCTATCCTAGCAATAGCCAATAAGGCAGGCACTCATCCCCTGCCATTTTAGAGATGAAGAAACTGGGACATACTGGCATTTAATAACCCACCCAGGTCACAGCACAAAGGTACAGAGCCATACTGCCTTGCTCAAGTGGACGCTCTACTCCTCCCCCTGCAAAGTGGACACTCTACTCCTCCCCCTGCACAGTTAGTGAGCCATGGCCCAGCCCAGCTGCTCCCAAAAACTGCCAGTGACTGGAGGAGGTGGACTGGGAGAGAGGGGAGAAACTGTGGGAGCTGAGGCTACTGTGGAAAGGGCAACAGTGGCTGAGGGAGCCAGGACTAGCCTCTGCTGGGGGCACAGGGAAAAAAGGGACCTGGATCTGGGGGACGGGGGTGTTCTGGTTGAGTGGAAGTAGTTCCAAGGCCACAGGGTAACAGCTGGGGAGGCAGAGTGAGCGGGCAAAGGCAGGCTGACAGCTGGATACAGATGTATTCTGTCAAAAGCTAGGAACAATAGAATTGTGGATATGGGGAGGTTCTAGGACATCAGGGCTTCATGGACATGCCTGCCTGGGGTCTCATCTTATCTCCTTCTGTGTGACGCATACAGGTAGAGGCTGTCACTTTCTACTTATAACAATGATATAAACGGGACCAGAGGATATAGGGTAGACACTGCACATCAAAGGAAAGGACAAACTTCATGGCATAATCAAACAGAAATCTTTTACTTCCAGAACATAAAAAATCTTAATCCTTCCAGTATACTCCTCCACAATTACCCTAATTTCATGTTTAAAAAAAAAATCTCTTCCAAGGTCATTTAAGAATAGTGACTTTGCAGATGAAATTCTGGGAAGTCCCTGAAATCCAACTGTGGTTTCTGCTTGACCTTAGCTTGACCTTTTACAGGGCCACCTACTTCAGCATGGTCCCAGGTACACAGGAAGGAAGAGTCTTCAAGGGAAGGGCTCAGTCCTTTTAAGTTTCCAAGACAGGGAAATCTGTCTAACTAGATGCATGATTCAAAGTCAATTGAGGGGTCAATTTTAGGAGCCCCTAAGGAAGAAGTAAATGAGGCAAACTTGCCTGGAAGTTAGCTGCTTAGGGGAAGCCCTCTGTTGGGGGGGGGGGCCTGCACTTGTCCTTACCAAATGCACCTGTACTTGGGGTGCCACAGCAGCACTGGAACAGCCCAGCCCATGTGTTAAAGTGAGCCGTGAGCCCTTGACTTACAGATATTCCTGCTGGGAACTTTAACAGGAGTGCTGTATATGGGACTCAGTTTGTGGGATTATAAACAACTCCAGCTTACAAAGGTTTTTCTCAGAATGAGACTTGTTTATAAATCAAGGACTTACTGCACTCAACCACCTCCATAGTAAATCTGAGAAAACAAACCTCTTCCTACATCACAGGCAGCTCAGCCCCAGAAGACTGAACCTGCCCACACTGGCCATAGACTGCCAGTGTCCATAGACAACCATCAATTCTACAGTGTGTCCTAGGACCAGCCACACAGAAGGAGGAAAACAGTTTGTTCAGAGGCATTGTACCCTCCAGTGAAAAGAGGCACCAGGCCAAACAAACCTCGAATCACCTCAAGTCCCTGTGAAATTGCTTCAATGATCCTCCCTTCTGCCAGGATTTTCCTGTGACGGGGACAGCCCCCCCATTTACCGTGCCTGGTATGGGCACCAGTACCCTAATCCTGTCTACCCTTTTCCCTCCACTGGGCCCTGACAGGGATTTGGCATCTGCCGGGGCACTAGTTCTACATTCATATCTCCTTGGCACACTGAGTCTCCTCCCATCAGTGATGGGGAAAGTACTTGTATGCACTTCCCTGTTCCTGTTGTTGTAAGAATTGTCCTGGAGCACTGAAAGCTAAGAAGTGCTGGAAAAGTAAGAGCCTTGAGAAGTAAAAACCTATTTAGCAAACATACCAGGCAAACTGCAATTAGGGGCTATAGTTTGGTGAATGCCCAGGTCAGGCTCTGTGCTCTGCAGACAAGACAGTTAAGAGCTTGGGTTCAGGAGCCACAGGGCAAAGACTCAACCTGATCCCTGTCATCACTTACTACTTGTAGGACCTTGGGCAGGCTGCTTATGACTGCAGGGCTGTCGGGGTCTGTGTCCTTGAATCCCATCTCCACGAGCTTACAGGTTCCACCCCATTGGTCAGCTGAGATCACCCAAGGCAAGCAGTTAACATGATGCCTGGGGACTCTGATCTGGGTCATGAATCCCCCCACCCCATCTGGACACTCCATCTCCACTGGCCTCCCCAGGCAGCAGGCATTCTTGTGGCTACCACCCTGCCACTGCCTGAGAGACATCTGCCTGGGTGCCTTCCTACCTGAAGGGCTTGCTGTCAGGGTCTGTGTCCTTGAATCCCATCTCCTCGAGCTTACAGCGCCGGTACAACTCATAATGCCTGGCATGTGTTTGCTCCCGCAGGTCCTCCATGTTCACACGGATCAGCATCTCCCGCAGCTTCACGAAGTCACAGTGGCTTTCATTCTCCACTGCAAAAGATAGGAAGTGAGTGATGCTCCCTTCCAAAGATGTCACTCTGAAACCCCTGAGGTCTCAGGACATCTGCAGATGCCTCACTGGCTTCACTGGCAATGTGTACAAAGACCAGCTTTCTGACGTGTACCCTGCTAATGACAATGCCTACTGCCTGCACCACACAGGTTCGAGCTCTGGAGCTTTGCAAATCCTGATCTTACCCTCCTTATCATTCTGCTAAGCAGGCACTGTGGGTCTTGCTTTGCAGTTCAGAAGCCCAGTTGTGATATGCAAACCAACCCCCAAACATAAATAGCTGGGCATAGATACAAACTCCATGTCACTTGCTCCAAAGCCACACTTTGGAACCTGTGCAGGGCAGCTTTTAAATGCCAACAGCATTCCCCTTTGACTTACCTTGGCAGCATTCACTTGGGGGACAACTTTGCCAGAGATAATGGAGAAATATATACCTTCTTATTTACAAGAAAGCTTTTTTCAGCTAATACTTTGTAGATACAACTGGTTCAAACTCCTAGGGAAGAGCTCTTTGTCCCTTTCTAGGAATGGACCCTGAATTCCTACACAGCCCAACATCTTAAGGAGCTGATTACCACCACTAGGGTGTGACAGTTACTTCTCTCTAGTGTCTAGCTGCTATCCAGTTGTTCCTTTCTTTCTGCAAACTGAAAGGACAAAGTGAAAGCATATATACTCTTCTCTATAGACTGTGTGTGTGTGTGCGCGCGCGCGCGTGCATGCGTGCGTGTGTGTATGAGACAGACAGACAGACAGACAGAGACAGAGACTGACTGTTCATCACAGGCAATTGTTACATGTCCCTTTCTCATGCTGGACATACCTTGTACCACACCCCAGGGGTACTGCCTGGCTTTTGCCATCTTGTTGCCAATCTTCACCTCTTCAGTGCTGCCAACCACTGCAAAAGGGAGATGGACCTGCCAAGCAAAAGATGATAACACTGGATATCTTCCGAAGCTTACAGAAAAGCTGCTTCTGCTCCAGCCTCCTGCAGACGTCTCTCCTGACTATACATCCAGTCATGCAGAACAGGTAATAGACTCTAGCTCACTTGATGCACTTCACATATGCTAATCCTACAGCCAAATACTGAATATCTGCTACAAGAGGCATTCCAAAGGAAAGTGCTAGATTATGAAAACGGTACAGTGCTTTAGTGATGATATGCTGACCTATGTGTGAGCACGAGGAAGATAACAGGGGACTACGAAACTAACTTTTTAGTTGTATTTACTTTTAACTCTCTTTATAGTGGAAACATATAAAATATTTTCCCATCAAATATAACTTAACTGTTTGGTAGGACTAAATTTCACTTGGCCTCAAACTTCAATTATCCCAAAATAAACAAAAAGACCAGTTATGTCGTCTTACATGCAAATTTAAAGGAAAACACATTTCGGATACTTAAAGTATATTAGGAATGAAATAAGTATGTGAATCTGCTGTAAATTTTATAAAATACACTACAGATCAAGTATTTCTGATGAGAATTTGAAATGTGAATTGACATAGCCATTAAAATAAAATACACCCTAGATTTCAAAGACCTACTTTTAAAGTATCTCAATAATTTTATATGATTACATGTTGAAACAATGGTATTTTGCATATATTAGATTAAGTTCTTAAAATTAAACTCATATTTCTTGTTTTTTTAAATGTGGCTAGCACTAAGTTTTAAAACCACACTTTTGGAGCTCATACTGCATTTCTTATTAATGGAACTACTTCCACACTTGATCACACACTTCAAGTCAGAAACATACTTTAGCTCAAAATATTGGCTCAAGCCTTACACCCACATTTATTTCAAGCAGAGATGGTATCCAAGACAACGAACTCTTTCACATTGTCTTATATGGTAGTTACGGCCACATTCAGGGGTAGAGCAGAAAACTAATTCTATGTCTTCTAATCAATATATAAGAAGAAAAAAATTTTTTCAAGCTGAAAAGAGTGTATGTAGTTTCATGTTACCCCCTGGTATCTCCTGCACTATGCAAGATATTTAATTTTCTATCTCCTCCTACTCTCTATAGGAAGAAAAGCAGGTTCTTTTTCTCAAACTCCAAGTCTAAAATTGAAATGTGGGCCAGTGAGATAGCTCAGTGGATTAAGCACTTGCTTAGGCAAACACAGGGACCGGGATTCAATCCCAGGCACCACATGCTGTGCCAGCCCCACCCCCAGGCACACTGAGCTGGCAACTAAGTCCGGACATGGTGGGGTATGCCTATAATCCCAGTACTGGGGAGGCTAAAAACAGAAGGAGCACTATAAGTCTGAGCTGTGTAGTGAGACCCTGCACATACACACACAAAATACAAATAAATAAAATTGAAATGTGTTCACTGAAGTTGAAGAGCAAAAGGGCTTTTCCAGCCAAAATTCTGGCCTAAGTGACCAACAGAAGGTCTGCACTGTGTGTAACAAAAGCAACTGCAGTGAAACTTCGACTTCCACAGAGCAGATGGCAATGCATCAGTAGGAACTGTCTGAAGGGCTAGCAGACAATGTCTGGATAAATAGCAGGACTAGTCTGTAATGTCAAAGATCCTCAGTTGCATTAATCTGACAATAAAGAGCAAAATCTCATGGGTCTTTTCCATCCCAGAAGTTTAACACAAATTTAGTTTAATTACTATGAAACATTATTTAGCAAGATGGAGTGGGATATAGTGAGAAAGGAGACAGAATTCCTTTTTATGTCTGGATCTACAGCAGGACATGCATGACATCCTGGCTGATGCTTTGGATGTGCTACAAAACATGCACACTGCTTTGCATATGTGGTGCCAATGCTCAAAGTGGGGGCATCAGTTTAAGGACCATACTGGTGGGGTTCAAATCCTCCTCCACTACCAAGACTATGCAGTCACAGGTTCTTCACCTGAAGTAGAAATAACTACCCATGAGGCTGTTTTGAGGGTTACATATAAATCCTTGACCAGTCTTTGGGAAATAGTAAATTGCTCCTAAATGTCAAAAACATCAGGTGCTACTAAAACTGTACAACTTTTAAAACTCATAGAAAAAATGTTGCGAGGGGAGATCCTACATATTATCCAGTTTACCCTGTGGAAGATTCCCTTTCACAGAATCCCTGCTACTTGGATTCAAACAGATCTGTTGCCCATCAACCCCATGGCATGAGAACTAGCTAATTAACAAGACACTTCTCCCATCACGATGGCTCTAGCAGTCATACATTTACTTCAGCACAAACTAAATCTTGCAGCTCTCTCCCCCTTGGTTTTAAAGGAGTCTGGTCAAGTCTTCCCTATGGCAGCCATCCTTTCAAATCCTTCATGTCAATTTCCCAGGAAGATTCTGCTCTTCAGCTTAAGATATATTAAATCCTAACTTCTAAAAACCAAAACTGGCCAAAACTTCTAAAAACCAAAACACCAAAGAGTGGTGTTTTTACAGAAATTATACATTCTCAAAACAAAAAATAGATGAACAAACGCAACGGAGCTCCAAGACATAGGGGATAGCAGCAGGCAGGATGGGCACTTAGTAGGGAACATTAACCTCAAAGCACACACAGAGCCATGATGGTCCACATCCTCTGTCTCCTTATACTTCCTCTCAGTGATGTAGACATTGTACCTGCAACTGTCCATTTCCCTAATGACTCGAAAATGTAGAAAAATTGTACAGAGGGAAAGGTAACAGCCAACCACCAAAGCAAAGCAGAAACAAGACCAACAGAAACATGGAGATCTCTTCTTTGTGAGCCACTGTGTGAAATGAAGCTGGGCTTGCATTTCCTTCCCAGAGACTTAAAGGAAATCAGAGATTACCCTGTGTATACCCCTGTGATAGCTGAGAAGACTGAAGCACAAGCTTGCAGGATAATGGAGCTGGACTCTTAACTAAAGACCTCAGGGCCCTATGCAATGTAGCTGCTAAGAAAAGTTCCCAGGAAAGCCACGTGCTTCCCATGTTACTCCAGGACTCACACTCATTGTCGCATTAATCTCTGCCACTGTTTCTTCATCTGTAGGAAACTGATATATTTGGACCCCATTGCTGACGAGTTCACTCATTATCTTACTCTTGAATTTATGTAGTTCATTCTTGGCAATTGTGTCTGCTTTTGCAATTATTGGAATGATGTTCACCTGTAAGACAAACATGTCCACTGTTATAATTCTAACATACAAGAAAATAGACAAGTGAATAAAACATAGCAAGCATGTGAATAAAAAACTCAAAACCTCACTGTAAAAAATATAGAAGATATTAAAAATGAGACTTCCTACTAGAAACAAGGGATAATGTTTAGTTTGCTCTCTGCACACTGATTTCTTCCTATGTGACATTAAAGGCATACTTGTAATTTCCTCTCCTGTGTTACCTCACTCTACTTTATGGAGTAAAAGGAAGTATTATTATTCTATGGCAAGTAGCAGTAACAGAGGAGTCTATTCTGTGAATAATCAAGCCCTTCCTTTAGATCCCTCCCAGCTCCTTCAGGAGCTTGCATTCTGCAGTCCTAACAGGGCACTATAAAGTTACTGTTTGTCAGAGCAGTGTAGTGTCAGCTCTATGCAGAATAAAGTTTTTTTTTCCTTCTGATTCCCTGGAAATTGCTGTAAGAAGAAAACTTAAGTATTAACCAAAACAAAAGAATTTTCACCTACTTTTAAATTTCTCAAACACCTACCAGCTAATTTCTTGAAAACAGGCTTCTACCAAATTACTTTATGCCAGCAAGGCTTTTGGTCACAGGAAAGAACTGGAATCTGTCATGAATGGCAGAAGCCTACAGTGACAGCCAGGGGCATCACACAGCAAAGGCTCCATGGTAGGACAATCTTTTCCCATTTTAAAAAACTCTTATGTTAGGATTGACTTTTTTGCCCTGTAGGTGATAAGATGCCCTGACATCTGTGATCTAAGACATGCTGAATGCCTAGCCCAGGAACATGGAGTCTTGGACAAGGGTTCTGGGGTCATGTCTACATTCCTTTGCACCTCCTTGGGATCCTGACACCCAAATCCAAAGTCCCTGATGAGACATTAGGAGCTGATATGTTGACCAGAAACCTGTTCTCCAACATACTCCACAGCACCCCTCCCAGCCCTGGCTTCCTCCAGCAGGCTGTAGATGCAAGGAAACTCCAAAGACAGTGAAGACATGTTTGGGGCAGGACCCAAGAACAGGCACGCCCCTGTGGCACTCATGGGCTATCTGTGGACACATTAAGTACTCTGTGTATACCAGCTTAGAAAAAGGAGCAGAGGTTCATATTTTCTCAGCCAAATTGATCAGAATTGATACAGCTACCAAACAATTTAATTTTAGAATCTCTCTTCTCTCATTAGCAAAATCTTGATCAACCTCTGTGAAATGACCATGTTTGCTTATCTTTTCTCTTTACTTTATAATCCTATCTTTGATAAAGACCATTTTAAGATACTACCTAACTCTATAATAATTGAGTCAACTCAAAATTTAACCTGCTTTGGTTGTGTTTTTTGATTTGTTTGTATTAATTGTTTTTGGCATTTTTTTCCTTTTCAAATCAAAAACTGTTATTTTGTAAGATATCGTCCTGGCTTAAGCAACATACTTGGACCTCACTCAGAACCCAGGTTATCTGTGGAAGACAGGTTCTCCCAAGCAAAGGGGGACATGGACTGCTTCCAAGGATGAGGCAGTTAGGGGAACAGCTCTCCCTACCCAAGATCCTACACCATCAGGACTGGGGCCCAGCTCCAGTTCCCAAGGATTACAGTGCAGTGTGAAATTCCACACCTCCACCAAACCCGATGGTTTTATAAACAAATTATACTGAAAGAGAATAAATTGGGACCTCAGGAGATGATGACCGAACAGGAGAGGAAACAGTAATTAAAATGGACCCGTACCTTACTGTCCAGCTTTTTCATGGTGACCAGGTCCAGGGACTTCAGTGAATGCCCAGTAGGAGCTATGAAGTAAAGGCAGGCATGAATCCTTGTGTCATGATAGTTGAAGAGAGAACGTTTGATCTTCAATTCTTCTTGCAGGTAGGCCTCAAACTGGGCGTCAATGTATTCCACTATCGGCTTATAGCTAGAATGCAGAACAACATTTGGCAAACACATTTTCAAATCATCAAGTTTTTGTTCTCAGATCTCTTCTGCAGTTCAGTGCAGGCCATCCCTTGAGAAGAACCACTGTGGTTCCATCCTTTCCAAAAACCAGGGCCCAGGTTCTCATCTGGAGCCTGAAGAACTCCTCAGGCTCACTTATCTCTCCTTCTTCCTCCATGGCTTTGTGTTTTCTGTCCTAGCAACAGACAAGCATGGGCCCAGACTTCAGCCCTCATTTGCCTCTGCAATTCTATCCAGGCTGACCCCTTCAGGGAACGTCTTCTTTCTCACTCTTCTTGCTGAACTCATCCTTTGTTGGACACTATATTGGGAATGGCAGCACACAGTGGTAATCTCAGCTACTGAGGAGACTGAGGCAGGAGGATCCCTCAGTAACTTAGCAAGATCCTGTCTCAAAAGGTTAAAAAAAGGGCTGGGAAGGTAGCTCAGTGTGAAGATGCTTCAGTCTCCAGCACTGTGAATGAATGAATGAATCAATCAATCAATAGAAAACAAAATCCCAGAGACTAATATATGGAGCATACTGCCTCCTCTCCCAGGGCAGCCACTTAGTTGGAAATATCACTAAGAGAGACTGTCATTGCTTCCTGCTAGGCCAACATTATGCCTTCAAATCCATCTCAATAAAGTGACTCTGATACCCTCAACCAAGTGAAGACCCAGGAATTGAAAATGGCTTGTGATCTCAGGCCATGTGCTACCACCCTCTAGGAACTTCTCCCAGCCCTCTTCCTTGCCCATTCCTCCAGAGACCAGGGACTCTGCACTCCCACAGGCCCTCTGCATACTCTAGACCTCTAGAGATGGAGGAATCTGCAGTACTATGAACTTCAAAACTCCAACATGAAAACTATAATTAAAGGCAAACCCTGTAGCCCTCTTTTCCTCACCCAATCATAGCTTGAATAGTTACATATGATTAGGTGACCATAAACATGACCATTAATAGCATATTAGGAATACATATTCAATAAATTACATGTTCCCCAAGGAGAAGCAGTAGGTTAGCTCACTATGGGAAACCCACTAATCCTTCCAGGTCTCCAAGGGGACAACTTCTCAGGAGAAACTTATTTTAGCAGCAAAGAGACCTTTTAGGGGCCCAAAGGGTTGGTTCTCCCCAACCATACTGCCTTTCTGAGCAATGATTTAAATTATATGAAAAATAAAACGCTTTCAACACTCAAATCTCTGACTTAGAAACCAAAGGCCCTGAAAGGGCACTGCAAATCTTTTATAGTAAGGATGTCAGAAGATACTCCAAAATAACCCCCAAAATAAATAATAACAAATTAATAACTGAAAACAGTCAATAAAAATATTTTGATGGCATTTTCCTTCATGATCGGATCATAATACATTGACTCAATTTAAACATGCAGAGGCTTTTTTTTTTTTCTTTTTTAAAGTAAAATATGCCTTAGCAGTTAAAAGACTGAGTCATAACAAGCAAATCCCAAAGAGGGTAAGTAGTAAGATTCTTCTTTTACTTTCCAATTTTAAAACATGGGCAAGCGTCATGCCACAATAATCCCAATTACTATGGGATAGTTACCTGGGATGTAGGTTAGAGACTTGGATTCAAGCCAGATGTCTCAGACCACAATCTAGCTTCAGTCACTGGCTAAATGACCTTGGACAAATCAATAAACCTCTCTCTCTGTGTCCCACTTTCCTCACAGGGAAATCAGACAAAACTAGTACTTCTCTCAGAAAGGACTGGCATGTAAAAGTATTATATACCTATTTCACCCATTTCATAAAACTAATATAAGCAAAAATAGATAAAAGTAGTTTGAGGTTTTAAAACACCAAACACACACGTATACACACACACACACACACACGCACGCACGCACACACACACTTTCAAGGGGTAGAAGAAAACCCAAGGCTACCCACTGGAACTCTATGCCCTCTAGATTCCCTGGTGAGGATTTTGCTTCTGCTTACATGCCCTGCATGACTGTGTAGAGAGTCCATCCATCCCTCAAGGCCTACGCGTGCCCAGGACTGACACTAAGGCAGGTGTCCTGGAATTAGTAGTCATCTTGGCACCCTTCTCAGACCATGGGAAGGAAAAGCAGTCCCATCATTTGTCCTTTATGGCTCCCCCTATTTCTGAGTTTGAGCTCTCTGCCTCTTCTCAGTAGCAGTCTAAGTAGATGTCTGCTTTCTTTTAATTTCCCTTCTTGCCTAAGGCTTTGATTCTGATCCTTCAAAGGTCATGGGAAGCACAGTATCTCTCCTTTGTTAGTAAGGAAACTTCTTACTAACTAGCTGGCTGCACAAATCTTTTGTTTTCTTCTCACATCTCAGGCCTCCTTTACCTGCCCAGAGACAGCTGGGCCCTCCTGGCAGACACTTCTTCCCAGCCTGTGGTCTCTCCAGAAAGAAAATCACATTTATTGCATCATTTCATTGACCATCTAACTGATGACAAAGTACATGTTTCTATCTCCATCCCAGATTTCTGAACTGCTTTCACTAAATTTGCTGTTCTCATTAAATTTGCTCAAAACTAAACTCTTTAACCTGCCAACAACACTCCCAGCTCCCCACATAGTTCAGCATGGTAAGTGTGCCACCGGCACAAGGCAAACTCCTATCCTATTGGAGTGGGAAACCCAAGTTACCCCAGCGACCTCCTCTCTCTAGAGTTAAGTGTGAAATTCCTTCTCGTCTTACCTTCTGTGTCATTGTAAGTAAGGGAAGCTATGTTTTCGTGGAGATCTAGCACCAAAAACAATACAATACTATGTCAAACATTTAATTATGCAAATACGGCAGCTTCCTAATGAGAAACAAACTAGCTAAATGGTTTGTACTGACTCATTATCCCAAAAATAAAACTTCTGTCCCTTCCTTTAACTGTCTCCTTTGACTTCTTATTATCTGTATTCCTGGTCAGAAGAAAGAAAACCCTTAACTCCAACTTCATCTTTGACTAGTTTCTACTTCTAAGAAAGGATACCCAGCCAGGTGCAGGTGCAGTGGCGCATGGCTGGAATCCCAGAACTAAGGAGGCTGGAGAGGGATGATTACCTTAAATTTGAAGCCAGCCTGAGCTACATAGTGAGTTCAAGGACAGTCTAGACCATATGGCTACATAGACTGTTTATTTTTTTGTTTGTATGTTTTTTTTTTAAAAAAAAAACACCTAAATATATTCTGTGTGGCCAACTGTGTGGAGGGCCACCTGAGCAGCTTTCCTTGAAAGAAGAGCAATCATCTCCATTTTGGCTAAGTCTGACCCTATTTCCTTGTATTGACATGCACAGAGCTGGCTAGGACTTCTCTTTATCCTTTCAATTGGTCTTAAGCAATGCATATTAGTCTAGCCAAGGTGCTGGGGCTAGTCTTTGAAGACAGCATGCACGTTTCCTTGATAACCCACACCTGCTGCTCTTTAGTATGAGCCCAGTTGAGACAGGATGAAGAGCCAGTGCTCCATGCTATCGGCTGGGATCAAGCCTAGAGATAGAGGCTATGACTTCCTGGGGCTTAAAAGATTACACATCAGAGCTGAAGCACTAGACCCCAACATTAAATACTATCTCAATAGTATAATGCAAATTACTTTTTTTGCATATCCTCTCTGAATATGACAGAGGTAAATGCAGGCCACTTCACCTACTTCCCACAATTCTCAGTTATTAATCCTTAAGCCACTCCTCCCTCATGACTGAATAAAACCTGGTGGTGGTCCTGGGTCGGCCTCTTTGTTCCAGAAAACCATCTTTGTGGCTGGACCTAAGGCCACCTGACTCCCCACAATTATAAATGTGCTCTAGTGTCTTCATTTTTGCTATGGGTTGCACTGGGAGTGGTGGATCAGAATTAACTTTGTGGGATTCCAATAACGTATTTTGGGGATTACAAATATAGACTTCTTGGAACAAGAGGAGGACCAGGAGAGGCTTACTACAAATTTAAACTTCTTGAGATTACAGCCATACCAACTGTGTGTGTGTTGGGGAGGGGAAAAACACATCTTTCCGCTTTTGTATAATTTCTTATTAAGACACGGGGTAGTCCTTAGTACAGGTTCGTTATTCATGTAATTCTATTAGAAAATACAATGAAATCATAGAAGTTCACCCTAAAAGTGCTAGAAAAGTTTTCTCATACAACAATATTTTCTGTCCTTTGAATCTCCCTTTTACATATTAACTACCACACCATTAGCATGACTTCCTTGTCTCTGGCTATTTATCAATCAAGACAGTTTTCCTTACCCCGTACTACCTCTGCCAGGAAGTGTAATACAAAAATTTAAAGGGTAAACAGTCTGCTTCATTACTATCATATGACTTTCATAAAGACTGGATGAGCTTGAAGATTCTCTCTCTCAGATCTACTGATCATCCATGGTTTTCAGGATCACCCTTATATAGTTCAAGAGATGCCATAGACAGCCTACCTCCCACCTCCCAAAGATAGCAAACAATTCTATTACAGCTGAAGAGCAAAAATGATTTCCCTTCCTCTCTAGACTCTTCTTTCATCCTCAAGGACTACAGACAACCAAAGTAAGAAAAGTCCTGAACAATAAAAACAGTTAAACATAACAGGAAACCTTACCAGATCTGTCTTCCTGCCTCCTTCTAACTAGCCTGGCCAGAGGCAGATAATGACACAATAATGCTGACAAGTCCAAAGCCTGCATAAATAAACTGAGACATTCTTAAACTCTTACATATATGGCAGAAAAGCTTGCCTAATTTCCAAAGTGAGTAAAAATTATCATGGTTAGAGAAAAAGCATGTCCCTTCCCATAGTCACATGCCACTGCAAAAATGCACATCTCACTTCAATTTTGTGACAGAAGCAAAGCCCATCCAAATAACTATTTTTAAACAAGTTATTTGGGTTTGTAGTCAACAGTGTCAACAATGCCTCCTGAGGAACAGGATACTGAACAATTTCAAATGCCAAAGATTATGAAACAGCTGTCAAGAAATTTTAGAAGAAAAAAAATTTGGTATCTAGGTTAGGTTAACATTATACTTCCTCTCTTCTAAGTCTCCTTGGAAACAATTATTTGACCTAAATGAGTCAGATAATTTCTTAAAGAAGAGTACAGCTGCAAAAACTAAGATCTGCATTGTACTAGCTTAGTGATTTATCACTCAGTGAAAGCCCTTAGCCCGAGGAAAGTCCCCTTTTGCAGGAAAGACAAAATTCTAGTAACAGTGCTAAGGCAATAACTCTGAGCTGAAAAAGCACAGGGAAAATCATTATTTCTTTTTTTTTTTTTTTTGCAGGGAGAGGGGAGATGGCTAAAGATTGAACCCAAGGCCTAGTGCATGCTAGGCATGTGCTCTACTGCCAAAGTACACCCTATCCCTTATTTTGAAACAGAATCTTACCAAGTTGTCTGAGCTGGCCTTGAAATCATAATCCTCCTGCATCAGCCTCCCAAGTAGTTACAGGCATGTGAGATGCCATGTCCAGTGGGCACATGTAATCTCAGCAGTCAGATGCTAGATGGAAGATATACTTATTCCTGCAGGAATCCTAAAAAGACCTGTTCTGAATCCCTCCAAAACCTCAAAGTCATATGTGGGGCTTTTCGAAGATGCCTGGTTTCTGGAGTGTGTGATGCTGGCATCAAGGATATACGATAACTAAATTAACCCACTGATTGGTTTGGCATAGTTCTGGGTAGGATTAAGCTTGCCCCACCCTGGGTGAAAGTTACCCTCTGTAGAGGTGGGTAGTCTGGATAAGATACAAGGTACAGAAAGAAGGTCACTGCTTGTCACTTGTTGCTTTCTGCTTTTGTATGAACTGCTTCTGCTCTTACACGCCCCTCTGCATACCACCCTGCCTTGGAGCCAACCAATTAAGGACTGAAGCCTCTACAAACTATAAGCTAAACCTTTCCTCCTTTTACATTGGGTGCCAAATATTGTAACAAGAAAAATACTTAAGACAAGACCCATCAGGAAATGCACAAACATGAGATTCTTGAATCCCAGCAATAATTTGTCTAGACTGAGAACTGGAAACAAGGCCTTCTCCCACATGTTCTGACATTGCAACGCTCAGACTCCCTGCCCAGCCCCTTTCACAATGCTCCTGTGCCCTTTTTCCTGTCGCCAGCATTTGCTCCTCATTTATTTTACTTGGCATGACACGTAGCCTTCTGCCAGTAACCTGTCTATCACTCCTTGCCTTCAAGGTCAAAAGTTAAGAGCACCTGCTCAGCTGCAGTGTCAGAGCTTTGCTTTTCCTGCTCCAGCACGACATACAGTGTCCACTCTAGCCACATACAAAGTAAGTCTTCCTCAAAGTGTCTAACAACCATGCCTATCAGCACACGGTGGCATCTGAGAGGCCTTCAAAATGCTTTGGAAACACAGCGAAGAGCTCAAAGCTCAAAGAATGGATTAAATACTTCTGTCACTGCTGTTGTGCTCATATTCAATCAATACATATTGATTAATCAGGGACTGTTAAAATATATCATGACAAAGCACATTTCTACATAAAAACCACTTCTACATAACACGTAGTTTTAAGATTATATATATA